GCTAAATGTGTCTGGAAAAATATTCAAAAGCTTTTATTTTTATTAACCTCGCAGACGTGAATGCGTCTGAGTGTTCTGATTGGCTAAAATAGCCAATTTCACATCAGCGTGTTCTAGACGTGAATGCGATTTTTTCCAGCAATCTTCCTTCTGCGTTCACACAGCGCAGCATTCCGGCAAATTATCGGTAATGTTACAACTTCTCTTTCCAGAAAATTGCCGGAACGAATTTTCCGGTATTTTCAAAAAGGGGCTGTTTACACCTACAGACCTTTCTGTCTGTATGTGTGACAGGGGCTAAGTAGCCTGCAGGGTGATGTAAATGACATTATAAAGAACACTGTTCCCTTTAAAGATTTACCCGACGTGTCCTCGAGTGTTTGTTTTCCATATCAAAGTCTGAATTTAATGAAAGGGTGCACGACTAACATTTGTGCACTTAATATTGAGAAAAAGCTCCAATCAGGGAATGTTTGCACCCATGCCTCAGTTTTCAGAAGTCTGCATATTTCCACATCCACACAGACACGGCGCAGCAGCGTTTTAAAACCAAAATGGCCTCTTCAGCATTTTCAAAACACTCTGTTTCCAGGGCTCGAAAACTCCGGGGTAGTATAGACTGATTTCACGCGGCCACCATTTTCAAAAGCGAAATCGAGGCTGCGGTGGGAGGAAACCCGGAAGTATCATTGGGAGTCACATAGGAATGTTGTGTACCTGGCTGTATATCCTATCAGCGAAGATAAAGTAACACATTTTTTTTATTTCTCTGCCTTCCAGGTGACCCGAAGGTCCGTTCTGAATGAATGGTGAATGTAAAAAGGCATATCAGAGCTCATTTTCAGCTAAGGTAAGGGAAATGGCACTAGTTAGCTAACGTTTTCTTTCCCAAACACACGTTTTAGATGGCATTTATCAAACTCGAGTTAATAAACTGATTCTTTCACTATATTGACTTGTCACAATACTGAATTAAAAGAAAAAACGGCAATTTTGCGCTAACATTTAGGGCAATGTTGATGGCTTTCTTAAAACAGCGCTGATTTGCCACTGTGTTCACGTGTTCAACAGAAATGATTGTGATTGGCCGAGAAGGTCATCAGTTCACCCACTGCTTGATCTGCTTGATGACTCGACTGATCTTGACGGCTGCTTCACGAGTCTGTGTATCTTTGTTTGCACTGGGTGAAGAGCGGTAAACTGAGCACAAACCAAACACAGATACACGGAGACTGAAGCGCGAAGCCTTGAAGATCAGTCGAGTCATCCGCGCTCAGCAGCGCTTCCATGTTAGCGGGAAATAGCCGGGTTTAAAACTTCAGTACCAGGACAACACTATTACAGACAACACGAGGGTGTGCTGCAGAGGACTGCAGTGTTTATCACTCACCGGGTTACATAGGCTGAAGCAGGAAAGCGTCCTCACGGTGTTTAACTAGTGCCATGAGAAGCCTAGGAGGACACTTAAGCGCATCACTGAGATTGTGATCTTGTTTGATGCTAAATTGCTTTTATTGTCTAAAATAAACTTACTGAATATTATTAAAGTGATGGTTACACCATTTCTGCATTTTGAAATCTCGGCAACAGCTGGAGGTTTGTAGTACACAGCATGTTACTGCAATGTTTACAGTGCTGGTCCGATACTTCCGGGTTTTTTTCCCACCGCAGCCTCACTTTGGTTCTTTAAAATGGCGGCCACGTAAAATAAGCGAATGAAAAGACGGCATAACCATAGCAAAACTTATGCATTTCAATCAGATGTAATCAGTTACGTTACTTTTATAAAGTAATTGATAAGGTACACTACATTTTAAATAGGGTAATTTGTAATCTGTAATCTATTATATTTCCAAAGTAACCTCCCCACAACTGTTCATTACCATACTAAATCCCGAGAGTATTCAAGTCTTTAATGGTTCCACATTATATCTTTTGTGCTTTTTCATGTCTTTTGTGTGTAAAATATATATTTCCTCCATCCATCCATCCATCCATCAAATTATGTCTGACCAGGGCAGGTTTTCAGGAGATTCACCCATCTGCACCTGCTCTGTCTCTATATAACCTGTGAGAAACGCAGAACGCTTCCCTCCACAAATGTATCCATGTATTTGTGAGTGGGTGTCTGGCATATATTTCAAAAAAGATCCACGGCTGCGCAACTTTCAGCTGTATTCACCCACATGACATGAAACTAAACAATGTTTGAAATGAAAGCGTCTAGAGCAGAGCTGCGCCGTGGGCATGAAATCTCGTCGTCTCCATGGCACATGCGTTTTACTGAATGTGTCAAACTCAAAACACGGCGTCCTGTAAGTTCCAAGACACATGATCAAACTCCATGGAGACCAATGAGAGGAGCTATTCTTAGAGAACCCAGAATGCACCTCACATTTCACTCAGGAAACAGCGGGGGGGTGCAAAACTTTCTCCTTTTCTTTCACTGTAGTTAATAGTGGAACATATATCTGAATCATTTCTTTTAGCTCTCCTCCTGGGCTCAAAATGAGGCAGCTTTATTTCAGATCGGTCATGAAGATTAAACTGGTTTAACCATGAACATTTGATCTTTTTCCGGACCAAAACAGATTGTTCAGGAAATGACATACTAATCCTGTGACATTAGTATTTAGAGAAAATAATGGCTGTGTATGTAATGTATTTTCAAGGTTTTTAATTGTAAGGACTTTTCACTGTTGTATTTTATTTACTAGTCTTTATTAAATGTAAAAGTGTTTTTTTTTTCCTTGCGGGTGGAGGTGATATAAATCTAAATATGGAAACAATATAGCAATTTTAAAGATTAAAATGAGACATATTACACTCATAGCAGTGTGATACACCGGTATATTGTCACCAGGGCTTAACATTAACACCCGTTAACCCGTCAAATGCGGGTAGATTTCAGCTTTGGCGGGTTAGACAGTCTCACTAGACTCCCACTAGCCACTTTGGCTGGTTGAAAATAATGTTTAAATCGTGGTTTTCTTAAAAGCTGGGTTCGACTATAAGGATGACCCAATATGCGTGTAAATGTGATCTTAGAATCAGTAAGACGCAGTACGACTAACAAAAAAAAATTGTGTTCGCGCGAGCTAACAGGTGATGTGATGCGCGCTCCTGTTTCCTTGCTTGAAGCAACCGTGCCTGGAACGCATCGGTGATCGGTTCTCTTTCAAATAGTCAGACAAAAAAAAGTTATGTTAATGCACCCACAGTCTTGCTGCTTTCAAGAGCTTCAAATGTGACTTTTTGCAAGCAGCACCGGTTGCTTTCGCTTTGAACAGCATATTAATTGGCCTTAACCGTGTGATCATCCTTCAATTCTCACAGTATGTTTTTCACCTGCTTTCTTTTGCTTACAGTTATTTTTTTATATGGTTTAATTATCTTTTTTTTTTAAACAATATTGCTATAATATGAGATTAACTCTACATTTATGTGTAGTTAACTGGTGATCTGAGAGACCTTTAGCAAGGACAGTTTACTGTGCATATTTTTGATGCATGACAATAATTATTTTTAAAGAAATGTTTTGTTAAATAAAAAGTATAGTATACAGCTATATTGAGCTTGTTTTGACACATTTAAAATTTGTGACTAAAAAGTAATTATTATTTGGTGTGGTTTGAGATAAATTTGGTAAATCCTTAATTTTGAGTTCTGAAAAGTCATGTGAAATAAAAACTAATTGCAGTATAACACTATGAAACCATGACCTATTTGCTCATACACGACACACAAAATGTGAAATGAATGAGGAGGCATGTGAACAAAACACAAAATCTAAATCAAGTAATTTTAGCACGTCTAAATCATATTTATGCATATAAAAATATTTTCCCAACAACAAAATTGCGGCTAGTGAAAATGCAGAGTGGTTAGTCACGTTGGAAAACTACTAGCCACTTTGGCTGGTGATCAAAAAAGTTAATGTCAAGCCCTGATTGTCACTGGTAGGGGACGTGCCTTAGTGCCCCCAACAAGTGACAATACACAGCTATATCGCACTGCTACGAGTGTGATATTGCATTTATACAACAGTTCGACGGGATAATCATGTGTATAAAAAAGAAAATCAAACACAGAGAGTCTCAAAATCCTTTTGTATGAGGAACTACTTTCTTCCATCATTCATTCACATCTGCAGCTGACATGAGAACAGCAGAAACCATTGCTACTTCACCAATGTCATTTTAGAGCAAGTATTTGAATGATTCTCTAGGGTAATGTCTAAAGTGATTAAAAAAAACAGATGATTTTGCTCACATTTTAATATTATAAGGCTGAACGACATGGGATTTCCCAGTGTTTCTCTGTTGCAATCAGGATAGCACAATAATTAAGCCAGAAAAAGCCAAAGCAAACACTACCAAATTACTATGGTATAAAATAAAAATAAAAAAAACATTTTAGGGTCAAAATTATTACCACCTTTAGGTATATTTATTTCCTATAGTCTACAGAACAAACCACTGTTATACAATGCCTTGTCTAATTACCCTAGCCTGCCTAGTAAACCTAATTAACCTAGTTACCTAGTTAACCTAGCCTTTAAATGTCACTTTAAGCTGTATAGCATCTTGAAAATATCTAGTTAAATATAATTTACTGTCATCATGGCAAAGACAAAATAAATCAGCTATTAGAAATGAGTTATTAAAATTGTTATGTTTAGAAATGTGTTGAAGAAATCTTCTCTCCATTAAACAGAAATTGGGGAAAAAATAAACAAGCAGTCTAATAATTCAGGGGGTCTAATAATTCTAATCATTCTGACTTCAACTGTATATTCAGATATATTCACAACTTCTTCTGCAATTCCTAATACATGAAGATAAAACATCTCCTCCTCCAGTGGGATTTGTTAAGAACAGGATCTGATTAGGTCAAATGATGTCTGAATTCATGTTCTTATGGCAAAGGTGAAACAAACTGTCATGTTTGATTCGGCTGTTAGTATGAGTAACTCTAGAAGAGGGTCAGAGGTTACTTACAGGGCCATGAAGGTCTGTGTTGAGCAGCATTAGTGCACAGGTAAGGCAATGAACTCCATCTGCAAGCATCAATGAAACATTTGGTCACATCACGAACGCACTCGCATTCAGGTCAAACAATTTTTTTTATCATAACTTCTGATATTACACACATTCATCTCTGCATCAGGAGACAAAGTCTAACATCACTTCCATGGCAACAGTCTTAGCAACAAGGAGATGCTTTAGCTTTTACCCATATACTGGTCGTAGCTGTTACTAAGACGGTTGCTATGGAAGAAACACGGCGGAGTGATAGTGAATGAGCGATTAGACACGATCGTGTTTTATGGAGAATTAGTGGAGGAACTACTTCAAATGATTGGATTCATCAAAGGGAGAACTAGCAAACACAACAGTTTTACTTATAGAATTCATGTACAGGGTTTCTGCAGGTTTCACCAAGTAAAAATTAAGACTTTAAGACATTTCTAGACATATACAGTGCTAAATGCTAAAAAAAAATTCGAATATAGAAATTAGAAAAAAGAAATAGATTTTTACTTTCCCATGTCAAAAAAAAAAGAGTGGAGGAACTACGATGTCAATTGGTATGCAAAACCCCGGCGAGTTAACATTTTAGCAGTTCCGGTTCCCTCGTCCTAAAGTCAATGGTTTTGTCAATTGGATTTTGGTTAAATAGCTTAAATAATGTCCATGGCTAACACAGACTTAAGATGCTTTCACGTTTTTCTCTACGACATAAAATACATCAGTTACACCACACTCTTGATTTTTTTAAAAGGGTTACATTTCTTTAATAAGAATGTTGCTATCAAGTTATTAAATGGGACTACAGGCGATGTCGGAGACATTATACATCATCAAGCTGAACTGGTCTGGAACGCAGCCCGCTTGTGTTGGGCATTTGTATTTGTGTGTTATTTAAGTATTTTCATAAATAGCATTTTATAGTTTGTAGTATTTTTCTAATTGGGAACAAGGTTATAATAGCTTTGGATTTTTCATTAGTATTAGTTTCGATTTCGATTTGACTTTTTGTTTAATTCAGTTTTATTAGTATTTAGAGGTAGATTTTATTAGCTTGTATATTTTGAAATTATTTAGTTTTAGTTTAGTTTTTATTAGCTTCAGTATTAGTTTTAGTGGGGTTTTTTTTTCTAAATAAGGAAATTTGTTAAGTGCAAGATTCAAAATCAACAGAATAAATATTGTATAATAAAAACTCATTCCTACATTTTTTGAAACAGGTATTCGGAGGACACACACCATCAACACTATCATCTACCACTACCATCTACCCACCCTCAAATTCAAATACAATAGCCCACAAGATAGTAGCCTTAAGTACAATATGTGTGCAAGGCTGCTTCTGAGGTTAGATACACAGTAGTGATGGGAAGTTCAGATCTTTAACAAGGATTTTAGGACTCAACATTATGTAGTGAGCAATAGTAATTTCAGGCAGTTAAAACATTATCATGATCTAAAAAATGTATTACAGTAACGTCAACTGAATCATGATTCACTTATTTAAATTCCATTAAGATTTTCTGTTATGAAATAAACTTACGTTTTTTTCACCAGATCCTCTCATTTAATCCCTCGGTTTACCTGCGTTGCAGTTGTTCAAGTTTAGTTCACTCACAGCAGGCTGTCATTTACTGTTTGTGTTCGGTTCAGTGAATCACGCATGCGCAGTATTATTGGTTAACCGCTTCTCAAATTTGATCTCAGTGTAACGTTACTGTTCTAATAACTGAATGAGAGTATATATTGGATTATTTAGAGTTAGAGGGGTGTATTAGGCTTGATAAAAAGTAGTTTGTGAATAAGTGCTTACTGGAGATGCGAATCGCTTCAAATGATTTAGTTCGATTTGGTGAACTAGTTCAACCAGTTTACTTAGAAGATCCGGTTAAAAAGATTCATTCGCAATCACGATACAGAAATAAAACCCATTATTTGGCAAAAATGTGTTAAAGTAATAGTTCTAATGCCCCATTCACACGGGGCATCAGCGTCAACTCTTCTTATTCACTTTGAATGGGTGACGTCATGGCGAACTGCATTGTGGATACATCGGCGCCGCTTAAGAGGCATTGCTCACTGCAGAAGTTGGGACTAGATCAACTTTTCAAGCGCCGACGGATGCGTCAGCCAATCAGATCGCTGTATGCAAATACACAAGCTAGACAGTGGCCTTTTGCTGACTGAATTTCATTGGCTGACGATTCTATAACGATCGCGTTAGCCCCAACTTTAGACACGCCCTCAGTCAAGAGGTAACGCTGAAGCCTCGTGTGAATGAGGCATAAATGTCTGTATTTAATGCTGTCACCGTGCTGCTGTCATGTCCACTCATTCTTTTTGTCGCGGGAGCAACAGCGAGGATGACTGGAAGAGAGCCGGCTCGATCCGGCCAATGGCAGCAGCCGGACTACAGACTCTGAGGTTCCACACAGGTCAAACACCAGCAGCGCGAATTAGATTTACTTCCAAAAACCTTACAGTAAGATTATGTATTAAATACATTTACAAATACGAAAACGAAGGAGTTTTTTGCTATAATTTTAGTTAATTTACTTTAGTTTTGTATGTACACAATACAGTTTCAGTTAGTTCTAGTTTTTTTTTTTTTAACTTGTTTTTATTTATTTTTTTCAGTTAACGACAATTATTTTAAATTTTAGTTTTCTTTTTTTTTTTGTTTATTTTCGTTAACTATAATAACCTTGATTAGGAATTTATATTATGTGTAGATAATGCCTTGTCGAGACCATCAAGACGGATTAATTTTTTGATCATATATTGTAATTAAATGATATTATGAAGATACTGCTTATCAGTGCAGCCCGTCTCTTTCCTGCTCTCAGTAATGCAAATGTGTGAATAAATGTGTAAAAATAAATTGATTTTTCGACTGTTTTTTTTTTTATCATCTGAACACATTTAACTCTGTCATAACTGCAATATTTACACTCCTCAAAATGTAAAACCTCCTTAGCATATGTGACTGTCTGGGCTGCTTTTCACTGTACTTCGTGACTTAGTTATTAAAAAGGAGTTATTAAAACCATAATGTTTAGAAATGTGTTGAGAAAATCTTCTCTACATTAAACAGAAATTGACAAAAATAAACAGGGCAGCTAATAATTCAGGGGGTTAATAATTCTGACTTCAACTGTAACTATGTCTAAATTAAATCTAGAAAAAGATGTTTTAAAATTGGTTTTCTCTTTAAAAATGATAAAATTTGATAAAATCTGCAAGTACAGCCCTCACAAATCTATCTTTTAAATTAGTATATTTAATAGGAAGCTATACAATATTATATTTGCGTTAATAAATTAGATTAGTCAGTACTGTAGCCAAAGCTGGAGCATATCTAACAAAATAACTTACAATAACGGTTCAAAGACTAGTACACCCAAATTTATATGTAATAGAAAAGTATTAAAGGCAAATTTTAAAAGAGGAAAAATCAAGAGAAGCAAAATTTTTTTTTTTGAAAAATGTAGATAAAAATTTTCTAGTTTGTATTTTATTTATTTTTTATTTTTTGTAATATTTTGCTTGAATTTAATTGTATTATCTTTCAATTTCTAAACATGTTTGGTGACTAAAATATTATATTAATAAATATATCTATTCAAAAAATCTGTTTTTGTTTATATATATATATATATATATATATATATATATAAACAAAATATATTGCCTATATTCCCTGAGAAATTGATAAAAATATTCATTTTCAAAATGGGGAGTACTCAATTATGCTGAGCATTGCATTTATAATTAAAAAACATTACATCAAAACATACCCAAATAAGTTATAAAATCAATGTGCTAGCAGTAAGCAAGTGATACTTAAAAGTTTTTGTATATTTGATTACCACCACTGAAACTGAAGAATAACATACCATCTGTGAGTCAATATAATCATTTCATCAGATGATTAAATCCCGAACTCCACGTGAAAGGCTTACCATAATTAATCCCATACATATTTGATTGATCAGAAATGCTAATCTTGTAATGAATGAGACCGTGAGAAAGGTTGCGTAAAGTTGACGGGCTGTACCTTGTGCGGTGATGATGGTGGGATTACACTGATAGTACCGATTAGAGAAATGAATTAACACCCGCTCCCTCTCCTGAGTCTCGCCCATTAGCGAGAATGCTTTCAGAAAACATCTGCAACAGAAAAAAGCAACAGAACATGGTGATGATGGGTGTTGTTTGTAGCTCATATGTGAAGGCTTTGGCCCATCAGACTTCCATTTTCAAACACAACATGAAAAACAAGAGCTGCAAACTGTTCTGGCCACAGCAGAAAACATTAATGTTGTGTGTGTGGGAAGACTATTGAAAAAATAATGGTTCAAAATCATAAGAATGGAAAAGTTTGTGAATACTGGGCAATTATTTGAACTTTGGTAAGAAAGAAGACTGCTAACACTGACCTAAAACAACAATAATCCCAATATCCTTGTTAAACAAAACATGTTCATCATACTTCAACATGCACAGTAAAAATGTTGGGTTCCACACAATCAATTTGTGTTAGGGCAACATGAAAGAATTAAGCTAGCTTATTAGATTTTACAAATGTAAGTAGGTTAAACATAAAACAATCAAGTAGTCCCAAAAAAAAAAAATCAGTAATTGTGTTGTTTCAGTACACTGTAAAATAATTCTGGGTTCCACACAATAGATTTGTATTCGGACAACATGAAGAAATTACAATAGATTATTAGTTTTTACAAATTTAAGTGGATTAAGCATTTTAATTAAGTGAAAACTAAAGAATTGTGTTGTTTCAGCTCATTTTAAATTAGTTTGAACAACAGAAGACAGTATTTTTTTGAGGGTATATTTTATAGTTTGAACAAACAACTAATGTCATTTTTGAGTGTGTTCAGGGTGGTGTTTCCCAAAAAGCCTCACAAGCCCAAGTTTACACTAATATGTTTTATTTTTAAAATGCATAAATTTTACTACGCTTACGCCTTCCGTCCGACTACGCTGGAGTTTTTTGGCCCGTTTCCACTGAGTGGTACGGTACGGCATGGTTCGGTTTGGTACGCTTTTATGGTCGTTTCCACTGTCAAAAGGCATACCGAACCAAACCGTACCACTTTTTCGGCAACCTTTCGAAAGGGTACCAAACAGGAGAAAGGGTATCAAAAGGCGGAGCTTTAGTTTATTATATGTATTATATACATATAATAGTAAGCCATGGTCGACTTGGGCTCAAACAAACCCTGATGTCGTCTTAATGAACAGCCACAAAACCATTTACCCTGTGCCCCGTAGTTTTTTTATGAGCCAGTTTGAAGCGCGAGCAGTTTCGCTTTCTTCCTTGCGCTTGCTGCGCGTCTATATCTGAAATAACAAACTGTGGAAACGCCAGCCTAATAAAGGTGACCCGTACCGACCCAAACCGTACTCTACTGTACGAGTCAGTGGAAAGAGCCATTTGAGAGCCGAAAACTGAGCTTTCTGAAAATGCTGAAGAGGTCCTTTTCATTCTAAAACGCTGCTTCTCCGTATTATTTTCAATCAGAACACATTGACGGCAATTCATCTGCAATTCTCTCAGATCGCGTCTTTCATTGTTCACACTGGGTGACTTTTATTCACGTGAATGAGCACAGATTTGCCTGTGATTTCAGGCATTTGTCAGCAATTCCTCAAAACTGTCGAGTCAAAATCAGGACTAAAATCATGCAGTCTGAACTTGGCATTGGTCATCAGGACATTTGGAAACATTGTTATCAAGACACCCAGCCCAGAAAGTTTAATTGGCATACAAGTAACAGCCAGATCTAATTAGAACTTGAAAATATATAATTAAAAACACTATAATAGACAACTTCAAATGAGCTCATTAACAACATTATTCATTCAACAAGTCAGATATCAGACTATAAATACTTGAAGTGACGTACCTGAGCGATTGGTCCAATGTCTGGTCTGTAAACTCAAAGAACGTGAGGTACTCTTCTGCAACCATCTTACTGAAGTCATTACTGTGAGGGCAAACAGACAATGTCACATTTTACAATGCATCCCATTATAACAAAGATTTTTAAGGAATGATTAGGGATATAAAGATTCACCTGACTCGATACGATTCACGATACTAATCTCACAATTCAGTCACTATTTTGTATAGAGGTGTGAACCTACAAGCTATTGATTCGGTTCAATTCGATATCACGGTGCATCACGGTGCATTGACAATGCTTTCCATACACAATTATATTTTACTTCACAGCACAAGATAAATGTATAAATATATTTACATTTTTAAATTATTTGTAATACAATTTTATCCATTAATACAAGCAGTCAGAACTGGACCTTTATACTTAAATACTTAAGTTCATACACAGAACAACATGATCATGTACAGCAAATAAACAAATGTAAATATCCTGCTTGTTTTATAAGCCCTGTCGAGCGAGTTCATACTCCATTATGACTGGTCAGGCGCTCAACAGAAAGGGCTGCGATTGGCTCTAATGGTCTGTCACTGTTCACCGATGAGTGACACTGATAAACGGCAGCGGCGATCACAGCTGCTCCTTGATAGACGCGGTGGAGAAAACTCACTCTGCAGACACGCACTCGTGTCTGGATCCACAAGTATCCCTGTAACAGCCAAGAGAAGAGGAAAAGTTCCCCAGCAGGTCAAACGGGCCACATTGAGAGAAAGAAATGGAGTTTACACAGTTTGAAGTTCATTGGCTTTTTCCCGCACGTGAATTCTGACCAATCAGTAAGCAGTTTAGGAATTATCTTCACCAACATCTGGCCAATGAGAGTGGTGGATTTTGTCAGATGACTGCATTTTGGTTTGTTTCAACTGGTTCGGATCAAAGCCAGCAGTGTGGTGTGAAAACGACCCAAAGACGGCAGAAAATGCAACAATGTATCATTTATTGCCTTTGGTCCGGACCAAATGAACCTAACTACAGATGTGAAAGCACCCTGAGTTTGTTTAATATATTTTCATTAAAGTGAAATCCAATGAACAAAATAAGGTAAACTTGGCTGAGTGCTTCATTTCCACTTTAAATGTCTTAACACTAAAAAAAAAAAAAATTACTCAGGTGAGATTCGAACTCGGGTTGGCAGCGTCATAACGCAACGTGCTGACCACTGGACCACAATGGTGCTATTGTACCGGTGTGTTTGGAATAAAAAAAGATCATCTGAAGTCATCTGAAAGACTTTTAACCACTGTATTACTTTCTATTGATGACTTCATGAAAAAAGCACACGAAAGAGACGCTTTGAAACAGAAGCTTATTTTATCAACGTGCTTTAAGCTTTGTGCCACCCTGCTGCTTAAAAACATAGTCTATTTAGAAAAAAACTAATATTTTCTGTTTATCATCAACATCATTATTAATAATAATAAAAATTTAAATCAGTGCGCTTTTGATTTGATGTGCGATTAAATTTTGAAGTCAAGCTTTTCTTCTTATTGAGGAGTTTTTCCGCTTCTAAAGAATATCCACAGAGGACCAAGTTCCCTTTTGTTGACCGGGTTTATTATCTCCCAGTGGCTCAGTCATAAGTAACTTACCTCTCCTGCCAGAGACCCGGGTTCAATCTCTGACTCTTACAGATGAACCTATGCTTGATATCAACACAGTAAGTACATTGTATATGAGGAAAAGTCCCGCCAGCAGGTCAAACGGGCCACAGTGAGAGAGAGAAAAGGAGTTTACTTTCATTTTCTCAGTCGCAGTGAAACCGCTTCTGCTGCATGTCATTGAAAGACGGTCCAGCAAACACACACACAGTGAAATGTGCAGAGTTTCTGTGTTTTTAAGTAGTTAGTGTTTTATTTAATTGTGATCGCCTTCCTTGCCATAGTAAGGTACAGCGACAGCGCATACGAGATAAATGACGTCAGAACGTAATAACTGGTTATCATCCATTACTGAACCGGTAGCTAATTGTCCGCGTCTGCATCGCAGTGCACCGAAGAAACAATTCATTTTGACACCCCTAATTTTAAAACAAAATTATTTGAAACAAATTTAAGGTGAAGAGTCAATGCTGCACATTTTTTGCAAAATAATACATTTTCTGCAATAACTAAATCGCAATTTAAAAAATTAAATACCAAAAAAAAGAATAATAGAAACTATGGAAGACAACAAACTAAAAACAAACTAAAACTGTGACTGTGCTGGGATTGCCTGAGCATGCAAGTCCGAGAGTGCAAGCCTGAAGGTGCAAGTGCTAATCTGCAGCCAATCTCTATTGGATTTTTTGACAGATATTGCGATTTTGATTTGATTTGCGATTTAATTTTGTAGTCAAGCTTTTCTTCTTATTAAAAATGTTTCTGCTATTAATGGATATCATCTCCCAGTGGTTCATCATCTCCCAGTGGCTCAGTCATAAGTGACTCACCTCTCCCGCCAGAGACCCGGGTTCAATTCCCGACTCTGACAGATGAAGACTACAGATGACGGCGAAGACCATAAAGGCCAGGTCGACCGAGGAGACAAAGAAGACGATCAGACGAAGAAGAGGAAGGTCAAGATGACGAAGAAGACCAAGACAAAGAAGATGATATGACAAAGAAGACCAAGACAAAGAAGATGATCAGGCGAAGAAGCAGACGATGAAGAAGACCAAAACAAAGAAGATGAGCAGACGACGAAGAAGACCAAGACAAAGAAGATGATCAGACAAAGAAGCAAATGACGAAGAACACCAAAACAAAGAAGATAATCAGACGAAGAAACAGGTGACGAATGAGACCAAAACAAAGAAGATGATCAGATGAAAAATACCAAGAAGAAGATGATCAGACAACAAAGAAGACCAAAATAAAAAAGATGATCAGACGAAGAAGACCAAGAAGATGATCAGGAGACGAAGAAGACCAAGACAAAGAAGATGATCAGACGAAGAAGCAGACGACAAGGAAGACCAAAACAAAGAAGGTAATTAGGTCAAGTAGCAGAACACTAAGAAGATGAAGACAAAGAAGATGAGCGATGAAGAAGTAGACTACCAAGAAAAAGACAAATCTGACAAAGAAGTGAACGACCAAGATGAAGAAGTTAACAAAGAAGACCAAGACAAAGAAGATAATCAGATGAAAAAGAAAACGACCAATTAGAAGACAAAAATGATGACGATGATGACCAAGACAATGGTGAATGGTAAAAAAGATGTCCAGACAAAGAAGATGATGACAAGTACCAAATAAGATACCTAAGAAGAAGATGAAGAAGAGGCTGACCAAGAAGATGATGACCAAGACGATGAAGAAGAGGATGACAAAGAAGATGATGAAGAAGACCAAGACAAAGAAGGTGATCAGACGAAAAGGTGAACGACCAAGATGAAGAGGACAAAGAAGAAATGAAAAGAGCGTTTTCCAATGACATTTACCGCCTCGTGACTAAAAGGGCGCCAATGTGATCGTGCAAAATGCCAGCGTTAAAAGCGTTATTTTTAAAGAAATGCCTCATACTCGTTCTGATTGGTCTTCTCCAACAATCAGATTGGCACTTTTGTTCATGTGCACGGAGCTGCTGAAGTTACAGTAAACAGCACTTAAAGGTGCCCAACCGCAAAACTGTCAATGCGAGCGCACATTGAAGAAGATGTCCAGAGGTGATTTGAACGTGGAGCTGTTTTTTGCACTGGTGAACAATAATCATTTCTTCGTCGCTAGAGCTGGAGCTGCATGCATATCAGTATGTTGTTGGAGACCCATAAAACCGAAATATGACCCTTTTTAATGTATAATAGGGGCTCTTTACTAGTTTTTTTATAGGCATATATACATATATAGACATCTGTTACTAGTAGTTTTCATTGTGTCGACAGTTTATGTGCATTACATTTATTGTTGTTAGTGTAAGTAAACAACTTTTTGCAGTATCTACACAGTTTTTGTTTTATCTGGCGCACTTTACCGCTGTCATTTTACTCTGCCGCCCCACTCGAAGCTAATGTGCAGTTAAAGGGAGTTTGCACCTATAAAAACAGCGCTCCCGCTGTTCAAAAAATGCATCGCGATTCGTTCAACATTTCTACTGATTTAAATAGTCACATATTTGAATCAATTTTCAACGGACTAACAGTGAATCGTTATATCCCTAGAAATTATATCAGCAACAGCTCAACGTGGCTTGAACTCACAGTCTCTGGTATCTGCTAATAATATCTGATGCGCACTATAATCACACATCAGATCAATTTATACTCACTGCATGTGTGAAATATCAGCTTGACACAGAAATCGGACATACTGAAGATCAGAGCATTTCAGTAGTGAATTATGAGCAACCCTGAAAAGAATCTAATCTACCCAGACACAACTCTATAATGGAGAGGGTTGCACAAGGAAACTAAAGCAGTATAAAGCACATTATATAAGAAACATGCATTCCCAGACAGACATGTGAATGAGTTTACTGCAGTGCTAGAAGACGGAGACATTCAAGGTTCTGGATTCAGGAACTGAAATATAGAATTGGATTAGATTCCCTCACACTGTTTAGTGCACAACTGAAAGTGTGGAAAGAGGAGGAGAATAAAGTTTAAAATACAGATTTATGAATATTAATGTTATTCATTCATTCATTCATTCATTCAATCAATCATTTATTTTCCTTCAGCTTAGTCCCTTTATCCATCAGGGGTCATATATTTAATGCAGTGAAAGCCCTTCAAGCTGCAACCCAGTAATAGGAAATGCCCATACACACTCAAACACACTCATACACTACAGCCAATTTAGTTTATTCAATTCACCTGTAGCACATGTCTTTGGACTTTGGGGGAAACCGGAGCACCTGGAGGAAACCCACATGCAAACTACACAAAAAAGCCAACTGGATCTGCCAAGACTCAAACCAGCAACCTTCTTCCTGTGAGGCGACAACTGAGCCACCGTGTCCACAATGTTATTCATGAATCTTCATTTTATATTTATTTTATTTACTGAAAAATAAATATTAATATTTAACTTTAGATTTTTCAGGGT